AAGAACAATCTAAAGAAGAAACCAGCAGGCTGCGTTGAATCACTTCATCACAGTCTCCCATCCTGAGCAAACAGTGGAGAAGAAAAACTCCCTGCTAATCAGGAAGAAACCCCCAGCAGAACCAGGCTCAGGACAGGAGACCATCTGCCTCAACCGGCTGGTTGAGGGACAGGAAAGAGACACAGAGAAACACAGGACTGGTCCAGATGCACCTACTTCTGGAAAACAGAACCAACATAAATAAATAAATTTGGTTCCACAAGAGAGGAGCTTGATAACTAAAAGCTCTGCCTCCCATTCTACTTTTAGAAACTCCAGGAACCACAAGTAAACCTGCAGTCTGAGAGTGAAGTGCTCTGTTAGGAAAGTATGGAACAATAAGATGTTTAATATATGATGGAGTTTGGTTGTTAAGAGCTTTGTATGTTAGGAGTAATATTTTAAAATCTATTCTGAATTTGACAGGGAGCCAGTGGAGAGAAGCTAAAACTGGAGAAATATGATCTCTCCTTCCAACTCTCAATAGAACTCTAGCAGCAGCAGCAAACCCCTTGTTTTGTTGGCAGCATGCTTTGGGTCATTGTCCTGCTGCATGATGAAATTCCTCCCAATTAGTTTGGATGCATTTCTCCGTAAATTGAGAGACAAAATGTTTCTGTACACTTCAGACTTCATTCTGCTGCTGCCATCATCAGTTCCATCATCAATAAATATTATTGAGCCTGTTCCAGAAGCAGCCATGCATGCCCAAGCCATGACATAACCTGCACCATGCTTCACAGATGAGCTTGTGTGCTTCAGATCATCAGCAGTTTTTCTTTCTCCACACTTTGGTCTTTCCATCACTTTGATAAAGATTAATCTTGGTCTCATCAGTCCATAAGATTGTCTTCCAGAATTTTTGCGGCTCATCTCTGTACTACTTTGCCACTTTCAGTCTGGCCTTCTGATTCCTATTACTGCTGAGTGGTTTGCATCTTTGGGTATGGCCTCTATATATCTGCTCTCTGAGTCTTCTGCCAACAGTGGATTGTGATACCTTCACCCCTGCACTGTGGAGGTCATTGGTGAGGTCACTCTGATGTTTTGGGGTTTTTTTTCTTCACAGCTCTCGCCAGGGTTCATGCCGGGTCTTAAAATGTCTAAAAAAAGTCTAAAATTTGAAAATCAAAATTTTAGACCTAAAAAAGACTTTAAAACACCCAGATTTTCACCCAAGGTCTTAAATTTAATTTTGTCAAGTCTTAATTTTTTTCTTCTTTTGATCATTCCTGAGAACCGTTGGCTGCATAAATAAAGAAAGTAAAAAGTCGTAATCAGAGGTTGACACGATCTGTCTTAATGAAGTGCTAAGTTTGCTACAGGTCATGATTAAACTACAAATCCCATGATGACTGCAGGCAAAAACGGCACAGTTTACTTCCATGTTTTTGACCTCTTTGCCGCTACAACCCCCCACATACAGTGGCTTATTTACCTGCTCAAAAAACAGAAGTTCAGTCATGTCCACTGCTTGTTGTTTAAACATGGGAAAGTGTGTTTTCAATGAGACTTGACTCACTCGGTTGAAAGCGGTTCACAGCAGTCAGATATGACCGTTTCATTCAAATAACTTAGTGTTCTTGTATTAAAATTAAATATTCTTTATTTGATAGTAGGGCTGCACCAATTAGTTGAAATAATCGATGACGTCGATTATATAAATTTGTCAACGCAGATTTTTTATTATCGATTCTCTGTACTACATAACCACCACGTGAATGTTCATGCAATTCCATTTCGGTACCTGAAAGCTTCATTGCGACCGTATTGGCATAAGAGTGGTGAGTTTTCCATGCTTGTCCTGAACACAGCATCGCACAAGAGCGTAATGATGTCAGCAGCTACTGCTTCAGTTCAGTCTGAAGCTTGAAAACAAGCCTCGCAGCTCCTGGAGTAAAATTTACCAAACAGACCGCCTCTGAATTATCTG